CTGCAGCTGCAGCTTCTTCAAGGAAGCATCAGTGAGGTGCTTGGGGATTTTCACTTTGCTGATGTCAATTTTTGTAGAGGTGGCAATGACAAATTTCTGGTGTGTTCTTCGTAGAGGAACGCGATTAAGGCTAAGAGGCCCAGTCACAAGTAGCAAGCCACTGGCCAGCTGCTTCAGGAAGACCACGCTCTTGCCTCTGTGACGCCCGGTGAGGATGATAAAAATGGTGCCGGGAGTGATGCTAGCTCGAAGTTTCCTCATATGCTGACTGAAGGGCTTCTTGCCGTGGCGCAAGAGCTTTCGGGGCACATCTTCAGTAGGCATTTTCTGAAGCTTAACCACCCAGGTACCACCATTCTTGTCCCTACCAATTGGTTTTGTAATCATGGCAAGAACTTTCTCCTTCTTTTTCTTCTCAATCTTTGATTTAGCAGCTGTGTACTTGTACAAAGCCTTTCTGGAATACATAGCAGATCGGGAGTGTCTGCCAATTCTTTTTAATAAGGACAGAATTTCGGCTGCAGTGGGGCTGCCCCTTTGTGGACTGTTTTGCCTTCACCTTACCCTTTATACCAGTGCCACTGGTGGCAGCCTTTTAGTGTCTGCCTTCTCAGTTTTTTCCCACCTTGCAAATGGGAAAGCCCTGCCTGCATTTCTACTGCCCTATAGGTTCCTGACTCTAGAATGCACTGCTACGCCCTCCCTCCCCCAGGACATCTTTTCCTATCTTAAAAATTTAGTTATATATTATTTTAATTTTATTTATTTTTGCAGTACCAGGGATTGAACTCAGGACCTTACGCTTGCCAAGACGACGCTTATTCTACCAAGCTATCTCCCCGGCCTGGTTTATTTGAGACCGGGTCTCAGTAGGTCATTTCATTGCCCAGTCTGTGCTGGGCAACTTGAACTTGCAGTTGTCCCCCCTTAGCTTCCAAAGAGTGCCGGGATCACAGGAGTGTATCATCGTATCTGGCTGGATCATCAACTCTTGCTCAAGTTTCTCCCCTGCCTGCTCTACAACTGTGGCCAGCTCCTGCAACTGCGTGGACAACCCCTAAGAACCTCACTACTTTCTTAAAAAACAAACAAACAAAAAATTACTTATTTACTTGGTACAGGGTCTTGCTATGCAGCTCAGACTCATAGTGGCTCTCTTGTCTCTGGGATTACAGGTATGTACCATCACATCTAGTTTTGGTGGGATTACAGGTATGTACCATCACATCTAGTTTTGGTGGCTGGCTTGATGCGGGGCTGGCATGGCATGAGGTACTGGGGATCGAACTTGGGTCTTTGTGCTTGCCAGCAGGTGCTCAAACTGCCGAGCTTTCTCCCAGCCCCTCTACCTACTTTTTTACTCACCTGCATGTATGTGCACGCATGCACGTGTACACACACATGCGTACACACACACACACACACACACACACGGAATCATGAACTGCATAACAATGGTTTGATCAGTGATGACTTATCTGTATAACAGCTCACAAGACTTTTTGAGACAAGGTCTCACAACATAGTACAGGCGGGAACTGTAGAGATTAAATGCCACTAAGGGTTACTCACAGTAAGTAGCTTTCATATTCAAGAACGTTATTCACAGCTGAGTGTAGTGGTGCATGCCTGTAATCTCAGTGCTCAGACTGATACAGGAGGACTGCTGTGTTTGAGGCCAACCTGGGCTACTGAGTTCTAGGCCAGACTAAACTACACAGTGAGACCCTGCCTCAAAATATAAACAAAAAAGCAATTATCAGGAGTTTTACAAATCAGTTAACCTGACTTACAAGAGCCCTGTATGACTGTACTTGTTTTATTCAAAACATCCACCTTGGGGGCTGGAGAGATGGCTCAGTGGTTTAAAGCACCTACCTGAAACAAGCTTGGCAAAGCACAGGGACCGCGGTTCAATCCCCCAGCACCACATGCCAGCCAGCCCCGCCCCCTGGTGGGCTGAGCTGGCCACACACACATACAATAAATAAATGTAATAAATAAAAATAAATAAATAATTAAAAAAAAAAACAAAAAAACAAAACATCCACCTTCTAGCTCAGATTGCAACGCAGCAGCAGGCTATGTCTCTCCGTCGAGCCCTACCTGCCACTGACAGGCCAGGTCCGCGTGACATCGCTCACGTAGCAGGAAGACTCACAGCCTCCATCCAGGAGCACCATTTCACCATCCTGCACAAAGGAAAGGGTGACACGAAGGATTTCACAAATGTTCCTCTTATCTTAAAACATGCTCTTTATTTTTATTTCTAAAATTATTTATGTATTTATTTGATACAGGGTCTCACTATGCAGCTGAGACTCATAGTGACCCTCCACTCTCACGCTCGACAGTGCTGAGATTATAGGCGTGTGCTACCAACCCGGTTTCAGTGGGTGGCATGCAGTACCGGAGACCAAACCTTGGTCCTTGTGCTTGTCAGGCAGGCTGAGACCGCTGAGGTATCTCCCCAGCTTAATGGGCATTGAACTCCGGACCTTGCTCTTGCAAGGCAGGCACTTATCCCACTGAGCTATCTCCCCAGCCCACAGCTGTTTATTATTTTTTTTTGTTGTTGTTGTTTATTTTTTTAAGAAAGCTCTAATCTAAAGCAGATTCATCTGTGGTTTCTTCTCATGAGAGATGAAAAGGAACCTAAACTTTTTAAGTTTATTATTATTATTAGTAGCATTATTATTGGTACAGGGGATCAAACTCGGGACCTTGTGCTTGCCAGGCAGGTGCGTATGCCTCTGAGCTAAATCTCCCACCCCTGCAAAGTTTTCTGACCATGCCAGAAGCATGGCAGTGTCTGGTGTGCAGGAGCTCAGGCTCTGGAATTAGCAGGGGAAGGCATTTGGCATTGTGAATGGGACTGTGTTCATTACAGATCCCACTTCAGTCAGATCCCTTATTCCACTTACGTTAGCACAACTACCCAGAGCCACTGCACTTAAGAATATTACTTTTCTTCTGCTCCCTGTTACATGTGGGAAAGAAGGCACTTCTGGGTGTATCTTTAATTTATTAACTGTCATAATCTATATATAATATTTAGCTATA